TGGGGTCCGGACATGTGGACCGGATGATTGGGCTGGTTGTCCGATCGGACAACCCGGACGCTTGGGGGAGTCCCCGGGTAACCAAAAACAAAATGATCCACTAGGAAAAGGAACCTCAGGGTTACTTGGGGTTCAAAGATGGACACACTAGCAACCCCCTCGTTGAACCTGTCCCCTATGCTGACCTCTCTCCCTCTGCTGCCCCTTTTTTACATTTGTCTGTATTTGTCTTGCTTCTGCTTTTCTCCTTCTACTTCTTCGTCTTCGTCTTCTTATCCTCCTCGTCCTTCCCACCCAACCCCCAACCCCTTTCCTCCTGCTCCTCCCTGCCTCTTTCCCTCCTCCTTTCCCCTCCTGTGCCTTCTTTTTCCCCTCTTCCTATCCTCCATTTTCTTCTCTTTTCTCCATTGTATCCTCCTCGTTCCTCCTTCCTCGCCTCCTCTCTTTCTGGTCTTCCATCTGGTCTTTCTGCTGATCCTAATTTTTCTTCCAGCCCTCCTTTTCTTCCTCTTTTTTTCTCAGCTATCTTGTTTGAAATTCCCCCTCTTTTGGTGTTCCTCGTCTTCGTGGCCTGCCTTGCTAGAATGGACAGGAAACAATGGACATGTTTGGCAAACCGTGTTCTGCCCACTGTTAGTTATCAGGTCCACATAGTATAAGACATCGTATTGCATAAGCTGGTATTTTAGGACCTGCACTTGCGCATTTACTGTATGCATTTTGGGCAGCTCAACAACCTAGTGGTCACATGCTCCTGAACGGAAAAACTTTGTTTTCCGAAGTTTACATTCTCTCCGTTTTAGTGAAGGCATTAAGGCAGAATGTTACCTGCCTCCTCATCTCTCCCCTGTTTGTCGGTTGGCCGCCTTCTTGTCCTCCTACCCTTCTCATTTTCTCGTTTTCATCTTCTTTATCCCCTTCGTCCCTTTTTGTCACCTCCTCTTTCTCTCCACCTCTTCCTCCTCCTCTCCCTTTCCCTGTCCATCTCTTTTTTCTTTTTTTTTGGGGGGGGGACAAATGTTCCAATCTATTCGTGGGCAGCAACACTTGCTGGGAACCGGGTCCAGCGTCCCATGTAGAATATACAAATGATTTGAAATACCAGGGCCATTACCTGGCTTCGGCTAAGAACAATCTGAGAACTATGAAAAAGTTCAGGAAGATTTAGGAAAAACGTGGATAACTGTTGACCTATTGCTAGGCTACTCAAGCAGCAATTACCACAAAAGTCCTTCAAAAGCTCAGAACCCCTGGACTCATCGACAAAACACTCTAAAATTCTCTAAAACTGTCTAATTTTTTGCCAAGCTCTCCTAGGCCTCATGCCCCCACCCTGCTAGGTTACAGGGCAACACGACTCACCCCAACTCCAGCCAGCGTAGTCCCGACAGCAACCCTTGGTTTTCCCTTGGAATGCCCAACCCAAGGCATCCCCAGATCTCTCTACCAGGCCTCACGCTCCTGCTATCAACAGGTTACAGGGCAACCCCCCAACGCCGACCAGCGTCATTCTGGCATCGAAAAACTACAGGTCCATGAATATAACAGCATCAAAGATGCCTAAAATGAATTGCAAGGAGTACCCAGAATCCTAAGGCATTCTCAAGGGTCTTTTTTTAGAAAACGTGAGAAAAAAAATTAAGAAGACCTCCCCCTGTCAGCATTGATTGCCTCGGAACCAGGGGTTTAACTGAGCAGGGATGCCCTTTGATGATAGTTTTTTTTATAGAAAAATTTGAGAACAACTTGCACCAAGTACTAAAGAAAACAGCCTTGAAGGGGCTAATGTAAGAAAACAGACATCTATACAGTACTAAATGCAAAAGGCCCTTTTGTGTTTTTGAAGAACATTCAGATCGAGAAATATCTGTCTTAGAGGCTTTCAGTAGCCCACCCCTACCTGCCTCATCCCTATATTCCGATACTTAGTCTCTACTAGGCCTCATGCCCCCAACTGCCAGGTTACCTTTTTCCCCTCCGCTTCCTTCTCCTTCCTTGTTTTTTTTCTCCATCTCCTCATTGTTTTCCTCCTAGCCCCTCCCCTGCCCCTATTCCATGGGGACTCATGGACAAACATACTCATGTTTTACAAATGACGTTGCGTTTCAGACTGGATTTGTGTCCCATATTATAACCATACGACATAACAATGCATATTATTATGTGAAGTCACTTCGCCCAAGGCACGAAGTGCAGCAAGACATGCCCTCTATGAATGTGCTTTTATAGCATGTTTTTTTTCCTCTACTGTTGTCAGTTGAAGGTAAGCCATATGCCCCTAGTGTGAAGTTCGGTCGCACCTTTTGATAATTATAGGTGACCTTACGGCCGCCCTCAAAACCCTTTAGTTTTGGCAAGTCAATTTCGAGTTCATTCGACTGTGTAATTGACTTTGTGTCTCTTCTATTTTGAATGAATGCCTTCTCAAGGTAGAGTGTCACTTGCCCCCCTCCACTATTTTTAAGAATTTGTAGAATTCATGAACAAGAATTGTAGGCCGTGGAAAACTGGTGAAAAGGAATGTATCATGGTGTGCGATTGCATGACAAGGGCATTGTTATCTTGAATGGTGTCATGGGCAATGAACTATAGTGGTGGTTGAGCTTGTTGGTGTGCATGACCAATATTGTGGTTTGCCCCACGACTTTGGGATAATGCATGCTTCTTCTTTGGAACAAGAAACCAATTTCAAAAGATCGACCATGGTTGCCCTCCTTTGTGACCGTTTGAGTGGACTTCAGTAACCTAGGACAAGGATCATCTGGAGGTGATTATGTATGCATTTTTGATATAGATAGATAGATAGATAGATAGATATTAGTGTCTCGAGTGCATTGTTTTGTTGTAAAAAACCTTTATTTGTTTCGTGGGTATTTTGTTGGCTTATG